TAAATGGCATAAAATATATCCCCTTAAAGTGTTTTTTAGCAACAGGCTACAATGAAGAAAATTTACCTCAATTTGTTGCCTTACACGCAATTGTCTGGGGAAATGAGAATCCGCTTTTCGTTTGCCGCACAGTTCAAACTGTTGAGCACAATATGGTAGTAATGGCTTACGAAATTAAAATTAATGAAGAATTCGTGTGCTTATCGGTTAGCGACTTGTTAACAGTTAATGTTTTTCATGGACACCTCTAGAACAACAAACAATTCATTATTATTAAAAAAGCTTTAGGAAAATTACACTAAATGATCCCAATCAAGTGAAAATGTTGGACTTAGTTCTTTCCATGGCAGTTTAAATTGATGTTTAGTTTAAAAAAACAATGAAATTAATATTTTGTGGTCCATCGAAATGACTTTTTTGAGAAATGTCCAAAAATTATCCAAAAGACTATAAAGAAGAGATTTTAGTGAGTTTAATTAATCACTTTAGTTTTAGCAAAAAGTCACTATGCAAGGTAATAATATCCGAGCCAGAGATTTAAAAGATTTCGTTAGATGGATGCCAGAAATATCTGGGTACCACTAACTATGGTTTAAAACTTTTTAATGATAAAAAGCATATAAAAAACAACCATATTAATCCTGTGAGTACTGTCAAATTTTATTATTGGTTTGGTACCTACAGAAGTAGGGGCATACCTTTAAGTGCTTGTCACATAGTACACAAGTCGCAAGATATTATCTGTGATTTTAGTTTTAATATTAAATTTTTCAAAAATAAGTACGTTTATTACCACTTGACTTTTATCATGGGAAGCTTTTAGGGGAATTTTTTTTCTTTAAAGTATACTAGTACAGTGTTAAGTTATTAAAAACTTTAAACTTAAAATTTTATAATTTTTTGGATAATTTTTGTAATTTTTCGATAATACATATGAAATATATTTAGCCCATTTTTACTGTGTAATCAATTATAATAAATGGTTTTTTCCCCTTGAGGGTTTTTTTCCAAATCAGTTGTTTTATTTCTTAAATCTCTTGAACATTTTTTAAATACCATAGCTAATTAAAGCTATAAAATTTTGATAGACATTTTAAGTTAATATTAAATAAATATAGAAACTAAAAAAATTTGTATATTCTTTATCTTAAATTTTACATGCTTTTATTTTATTGTATATAAAAAATCAAATTTATTTTTTTCTAAGTAATTTTTAAGTACTATTATTTATTTTATTTTACACAGGTGTCTGGAAGGAAAATAAAGTTTGCCTACGATGCCAAAATAATTCATTGTTACCCACTGGTTCCTTAGCACCCTCTGAAAAGAGAAATCTTAACCCGAAAATCGTAGCTGTTCATTTATGGAAAAAACACCCCTTTATAGGGGTGATTTGGAATTTTTTTCAGAAAAAATTGTTTTTAAGGAGCAAAAATTATTTTTAAATTATTTTGATAATTGTTATTTATGTGTGTGTTTACAGGGTTTAATTTTCTAGATACAATCGATTAAAAAGTTTTTTAAAAACAAAAAATTCAAATTTTTAACTTTTCTTTTATTTAGTTAACGATTGTTGATAACATCTATTTACATATATGTGGGCAATTTCAAGTCAGATTTCAGTTCACATTTTAAATTTGGCCAAAACAATTACAAAAACAATTAAACAATTATTAGTTGGGTTAAAATAAATTTTTAAACTCGGCGTGCAAATTTTACGCACGCTGCACTGTGCATAATTTTCAAAAAATAAAAATTTGAACTACTCTTGTAATTTTTAATAACTTTCATTGCTAATTTTTATATATACTTATTCATAATTCTGAACAATCAATCATATGGATTTTCAAAAATTTTGTATTTTTCAAAAAAATTTTATTTTTCAAAAAATTTTTATTTTTTTTAAAAATCAAATTTTTTGAAAAATAAATAAAAATTGTAAATCAGTTAAAAATTACTTTTATTAATCTTCTATAGTGTAATATGATTTCAGGTAGTGAAAAAATGTAAACAAAATTTTGATACCCCTAGAAATGGTTATTTTTGAATGGCACAAATTTTACTAGTAGTTTTTAAAAAATTTAACTAATTCTACATTTTTTATTATTTTTCGTTGCCAAATTTTATTTATGCTTTTCTTACGATAATAAATAATCAATCGTATGGATTTTGAAAATTTTTAATTTTTTCAAAAAACGTGCACAGTGCAGAGCGCATAAAACTTGCACGATAAAATTAAAAATTTATTTTAACACATCAAATTCAAGAAGAACACTCTGAAACATTTTGCAAACTATTTTTATCATTGCCAGCTATGTTTTTTTTAAATTTTTTTAAAACGTCCAAATTTAAAAAAAATTAATTTGGTTATATAATTTTTTATTTTTTTAAAAAAATTTGTTTTGTAACAACATTTAAAAGTTGAAGGATAACTAAACTTTTTTTGTCTCAACGAAATTTTTGTAAGTCCAATAATTTTCGAGTTGTAGACCATTGAAAAAAAGTCTACTTTTCAAAAATCAAATTTTTTCAAAATTGAAAATGTAAACTGAAATCTGACGTGAAATTGCCCACATATATGTAAATAGATGTTATCAAAAATCGTTAACCAAATAAAAGAAAAGTTAAAAATTTGAATTTTTTGTTTTTAAAAAACTTTTTAATCGATTGTATCTAGAAAATTAAACCCTGTAAACACACACATAAATAAAAATTATCAAAATAATTTAAAAATAATTTTTGCTCCTTAAAAACAATTTTTTCTGAACCAGAGGGTAACAATGAATTGTTTTGGCATCGTAGGCAAACTTTTTCTTCCTTCCAGACACCTGTGTTTAAATTGTACAACATTTTTTTGCCAATTTAATTATTATATCAAATTATAAAACTATTTTACAAAATTCGACACATTTATTGCTTCACTAAGAATTTTATCATTTTTGATAATAAAAATATATATCATAAGAAAAAATGCACTATTGGATTTATCTATAGGGGCGAATTCCTTGAAATTCTGGACAATTCTGAAAAGCCTCACGTCATTTTAGGTGTAAAATTCGCTGACATTGAATGCCAATATCGCCTGTTCTTCTGAAAAGTTAATAGAATAACAATTGTTTTAAGATGAAAAATAAAATGGTTTTAAATTTCCCTCCCAGCATTTTTTAAAAATAAAGAAGATTCGATAAAATAGTGCCTTTTTTAAAATGTGATTTTTAAATAATAAACCATTTTGCAGTGAAAATGTATTAGACTTTCAGAATTAATATTTAAATTTTTCTTCTTTTAGAAACAATTATTATAATTTAATAATTAATTAACAATTAATTTAATTGTTGTAAAACACAAAATTTAAAAATTTATACTGAATGTTTCTTTACTTTTCTAACATTTTTTATACATAAATTTACAAATTTTACACAGGATCGACAAAATTGGACCTTATATTTTTTATAAAGTTATAATGAAATAAGACACTTAAATTTACGAACAATGATTAAATAACAGAATAAAACGTGTCCTTTTTCGTATTTTATTAATGTAGAAATATTTCTAAAAGTATAGTAATTTAGATGAGTATTTGGTAAAATTAAATTCTGTTTTTTTTACTAATTTGTTAATTAAAAATTAAATTACTTGGTTAAACAACGATGCTGTTATGAAAACGGATACAACATAGCATTCTTAAATTCGATTTTAATTTGCACGAAAGGGCAATTATTTTTTCTTATTGTAAGCCTGTTTATTATTTGAATAAATTAAATTTTAAAAGAAGACAAACCATAAAAAATTACAAAATTGTTTTACTACTTCATCGAATATTTATTATCGTCACTCATAGTCAGTGTGAATTTTAACCAATTTTTGAAATTATAACCTTACATCATCTGTTTAATTTCAATTCATAAGTAGAGAAAAAAATATGTATTCCATGATTTGTACATTACATTTCTTTGCCTGTATAACTCTGATTTTGTATAACAGTTCTCCATCCTAGTTTACATTTTAGTAACAGTTTCAAAACCTCAAACCTTTTTATCTATCAATTTAGTATTAATTTAATTAAAAAAATTATTGCGTTATTCAGTAATAAAATCAATATTTGATTACCTGTAGTTTGATTAAATAACACTGGTCGACACTAAAAATGATTCAAAGATCGGACAAGGATATTCTTATAGGATTTTCATCGCTGAACACGAATCTGACCTTCAAAAGTGCCCATCACGTCGAGATTTTGAGAAAAATGGACTCAAAGTATCAAAGAACCCTGTTTTTGGCCTTTTTTTATCACGTGTAGAGAATGATGCCGAGGTGCTAGAAATCTCTAATTAGTCTTAAATTAAAGCTTGAACTGTCAACTATAAGAATCAAATCAGAAAAGCTCTGAATCAATCAAAAATTTTCATATAGCACAACTTTTTCATGTGCGCGCGCACTCTACTTACACTCATAGAGCGGTACACAATGGCACACTTACTTATTCATTTTATTTGCGCTATTTATAGTTATTTATCATTTTTGGTGTCGCTGAACGTTGCTGATTGAATGTAATGTCGTTATTAAAAAATTATTATTATGTTATTTATTATTAAATTTTATGTCCGCCATTTTGAAACCGCCATTTTGAATTTTTAATAACGACCTTACATTTAATCAGCAACGTTCAGCGACCCCAAAAATGATAAATAACAATAAATAGCGTAAATAAAATGAATAAGTAAGTGTGCCATTATATACCGCTCTATGAGTGAAAGTAGAGTGCGCGCGCACATGAAAAAGTTGTGCTATATGAAAATTTTTGATTGATTCAGAGCTTTTTTGATTTGATTCTTATAGTTGACAGTTCAAGCTCTAATTTAAGACTAATTAGAGATTTCTAGCACCTCGGCATCATTCTCTACACGTGATAAAAAAAGGCCAAAAACAGGATTTTTTGAGACTTTGAGTCCATTTTTCCCAAAATCTCGACGTGATGGGCACTTTTGGAGGTCAGATTCGCGTTCAGCGATGAAAATCCTATAAGAATATCCTTGTCCGATCTTTGAATCAGAAAAAAAGTTATTTTTTGTCGACCAGTGTAATTTGATAAATTCGTCGTTGTATATTTATGATTTGACAGGTTATCATAAGCAAAAGTGAAGTTCATCTGTAAGTAGTTACCCTTCATAATATTACCCGTCATAATTATTACCCACTACCAAAGTCATTTTCTTCAATTTTATTATTCAGCGTTTGACGACATATGACTTTAGGAGGCTTTGTAAGTTTACTGGCTGCTTCCAACATATCTTTAAAAGATTTATTTTCTATAATTGACACTGGCGACATGGTTTCAACCACAAAGTTTAAAATTAATTTGTCCAAATTGACTGATTTTTCTGATATTCCTAAAGTACTTTGCTTCATTGTTTTTGTTTTCGACGTACAATTCTCTTGAACCGCTTTTCTTTTGGTAGCCTTAACACTTACGGGCTTTAACTTTTCATAATCTTTCAGCATGTCAGCATGGCCTTTAATCTAAAAGCAATAATTTAATAACACGCTAATATTTATGGAAATAAAACTTAAATCTATTTTAAACTAAAACTTAGAAAATAATTTAGTACAAAGAGAATACATAAAATATTACGTAATAAATAAAATAGAAGAAAAATTCAGAAACTCAATGAAAAAGTAAAATATTACAAGTAATATATAATGTAGAAAAAATAATTGGATTTTTACCTTCAAATGATTTAAGAAATTTATTGTTGACACCACACTTCCTTTTAAAGTCTTCGAACATACTTTACAAACAGCTGAAATGTTTACGTTATTTTCATCGTTTCTCTTAGCGTCCTTAAAACAATATTGTAAAATAAAAGGCAGCTTATTTTCGTTTTTATCCCTGAAAAGATTATTAATTGAAAATAATAATCCCTTTTAGAATTACAGATCTTATTTTAATATATATTTAATCAGTGTTTAAAAAAAATTGAAAAATTTCATAAACTTAACCTCAAATTCACAAAGTCAATTAAGTCAATTACATGCGCTGACCATCATCAGTTTCGTTATAAATCAATACAATAATTTCCATACTTACATTTTTTATCTGGCAGCTTTTAAGAGGTAACGACTATGTAAAAAATTTTAACAAACTTGATTTCTATAGACTGAACATAATAAACAAGCATGAGCTCATGAGCGACCTAACATTTACTGAGAAGTGAGAAATGAAAATTCTATCCAGGGTTGACAATGTAAAGAACGAATAATACAGTACTTTACGTATACAACTGTACATTTGCGCAGCATTTTCGCGTCGCGTGATAAAAATTGAAAGAAAAACATAATTTTTCATGCATTTTGCATTTTCAAATGCAAAATAAAGAGAAAAACCATTTCAAATGTAAATACAAAATGGTTTCAAGCAAATGTATTTAAAATGCAAAATGAAAATAGGTATTTTCCATTTTGCATTTGAAATGGATTTATTTGAAATACTTAACATCTCTGACGATATGACATAAAAAGTAAGCAAGACATATAAAGCACAAGTATGAGGCAGTAACCTTGAAGGTACCATCCAGAAACCAAGTTCCGCACGTTGACAATATTTCCATATTTCTCCTTGTCGAAAACATGATAATACGACCGTGCTGAATATCGTCGTCGTCCCGAGAATCGTATAGAAGAAATTTGTCTCGTCCTCTGGTGTTTTCAAATTTAGGGGGAATTTCAGCTTTATCCTCTATGGTAGGAGAATTCTTTCGACGTCGCAACCTTACAGATTTTTTTAGATTTTTGCGTTCCGGTAATTGACTGAGGACTCCATCTGGAACGTTAGTGAGTTCCCGGCGAAGAATCATCAATAATTTTATCTCCTTCGTATCGCGTAATCGCTCTTGCAGAGCACTCTCCTCCTTTAACCTTCTTGCACTCCAAGTAATATCGATCTTTATACATCCTTGTTTTGTAATATATAAAACCATCCATCCACAAACAATTGTTTGCCCACAATTCGAGGACCAATCTCCATTGTTTTTATTTAAAATATAAATTTTTTTATTTCATTTATAAATTATACTTTTAATTTAGAATCGAAATATTAATTTACAATCAAAATTTTGGAACTTTTGACATTTATATTTGTTGCTATTGAAAAAACAATAAAAAAAACAATTGCAGATCGCATATCGCATCGTCATAAAAATATATAGGTATTAGGAAAAATGATATTGTTCGGAAAAAAAGACATAGTAAAAAAAGACTTTAAAAAAATTGAGTTCGGAAAAATGATTTAGGAAAACAGTTTTAGGAAAAATTAACTATTAGGAAAAGTAGTTGTTAGGTAAATACGTTTAGGAATCTAAGATTGAAAAATTCGTCGGGGAACGCAAATGTGCAAATATTATAAAAATCCACAAATAATATTCCGAGATATTCAAAATTTTATAAAATTAATATTAGAATTCAAAATGACGTATCTTCAACAATTTTTAAATTTAAAAAAAAAATTTTTAGGGAAAGAAGTCTCTTATATATATCTTTTTTCACATTCAATCAGTTTTTGGGTCTATTAATTATTCACACATTCACTTTATTATTTTTGTATTTGTTTTTTTAGATGAAAAGGAAACTTTTTCAGCCCGGCACTCATTGATATTAAATAATTTTACGAAAATGGCCAGGTTAATAAACAATAGGTCTCTTAAAAACTACCCCTATATTCCAGCCCTTTTATAATAAAGTTTTTTCGTTCAGTCTTTCGTCGTGATACATCTAAGAAAAATACTAAAATTCATTTGATTAAAGAATCAATGGGTATTCTAAAGGTTTTGGGATCGCTGAATCTGAAGTTGATGTCAGATTCAAACTCGTTTGAAACTTGTTACTCGGGGATTTTTAAGGTCGCTAAATTCAAATTTGTTGTCAGATTTGCAAAATATAGAACTGGTAAATTTAATATAGCACCAAAAACTTTAGAACTGGGAAGTCATGACAGTCATTACTATTTTGTAAATATCCTAATTTTTTAGGGGTTTGAATAAAAAATCAGCGACGTTTTTTGTTGCAAAAATCTATATTTCTATGCTTTGTCTACTCAGAGGTGAAATCGCAACCCTCAAATATTTAAATTGAATATTAGATTCATGAAATGTTAAAATGAACCAAAACTTTGATAGATATGCGAAAATTTTTAAAATTAACTGCATTCATAAAAATCACTACTTGGAGGTTTGTGTGGACGCTTATAACGAATTCGTGGTCAGTTTCTTTAAACTTAAAACGGAGAATTCAATATGTCGGACATCTAACCAAGTCAGAAATAAAAGATCTAATCGACGTCTAAAACATCTATCTATGTGGAATCTAAATCGAGATCTATATAGACGTAGAAATGAGACGCCTCAAGACGTCGAATTTGTTGTATATTTTGAATTTTACAAAGCTGACTTGAAAATCGTAATAAGCGACCCCGAAGACCCCTGAGTAGGTATTTTCAAGAGCGTAAATAAACTTTTTAATTTTGGTCCGCCACATTGGATCCTCCATTTTCAATTTTGCATATCAAAAAACCCAGGAGTAGGCATTTTTAGGAGCGTAAATCAACTTTTTAATTTTTGTCCACCATTTTGAATTTTTGAAAAATGACATCAAATTCGTAATCAGCGACCTTAAAAACTATAAACTACATAGGGTGAAGGAATCTGATTGAAAAATAATTCAATTAGGCCTTAAAGAGTTAATATATTTTTTTGTGATTTTTTTTACCGCATTAATTAATTTGTAGAGTAATGAGAAGGCCTAGATAAATTTATATATCTTGCCAAGTCACATTGTTAATAATACCTTTTTGCATTTTCGTTTCTTCTCGAAATCGTGCTGCGATGGTTTAGAAAAAAAGGTTAATATATTATTGAAGAAGTTACAGTAACAATATTTTTAAAATATAAAATGATGATTTTATTGTTCGGTCATCTTCAATTATTATAAAACATAAAGAAATAAATCACTCCTAGTTGAAGACTGCACAAAGTAATATAAAAATTCAAATATTTTTAATATCATTTTCCATTAAAATTTGTACTTGACAAATAGAATTTATTAACATTTTTTTTCCTTTATTTTTAAAAAACAGAATATTATTAAAACTATTGCCATTAAGAAATAAAAATGATGCAAATTATTTCCTTATGAAAATTGTAAATTTTCTACAAAAATATTAAGAAACGGGAATATTCCCAAAAGAAAAGAATGAATTTGTGAACAATATCGGTAATGAGTAATAAAACTCGAAAAATTATGTATGAAATATTTTATAATCATAATTATTTAACAATTGAATATTATTAAAATTCAACTTATTGTGTTTCTGAATAAAATTTATACACGGAAAAAATTTTGGGACGTCAGATGCGAAAAGTCAGTGACAGCAGAAGAGCATTTCATTATGTACGTCTGCGGTGCATTTTCGAGAGAGCAGACGTAAAGCTTGGCACAAACGCTGTACATAGTGTACGCCTGTTGCGCAAAACTAGCACAGATGGCGTTCAAAATGAATGTACAAGTAATTTTGACACACCATGTACAGCTGACGTGCCTAAATTTTTTCCGTGTAGGTATAAATTAAATCAACAAATATATTATGAAAAATATAACCTTTAATGAATCAAAAAATAAATAATTATATATCAGACTTTACCAATCTTTTCTTTCTCTTATTACTCTCTTGTATTCTTGCTTCTAATTTAGTTGCTACTCACTAAGCACAATCGCAAAAAACACCTAATAAAAATCCTAATCAATTTAAAGAATAAGCGTGAAGGAAGAAAACGCGTAGCGTCAATAGTCCCAGAAGTAATATTATAATTATTTACAAAAGCAATAAATAAACATTTCAAACTTAGAAACAAAACAAAATCATACATGTACGACTAACTTCAGATGTGGACAGAAAAAATATTTATTTTAATAAATACTATTAATAATAAAATAAATAAAATTTAATCAGTTATTTATGTTCTACGAATACTACAAATCTATTTTAATTTTCCTAATATTATATTTTAAATTCAATATTTGTTCAGTATAAATTTAATCCCCTCAATTCTTTATTTTTACTTAACTAACATTCATAAGTTGTCCACAGGATATCTAAAAGATATCTAGAGAGTGTATCAAAAATACCAACAGTATGTCCCGGAGATATCCATGGGATATCCTAGAGATATCTGTGGGACATCCATAGGATTTTCACTGGATATATATTTATTTATTTATTTATAACAAAATACAGGTTTCTAGGGCTAATAAGCCCTTCGAGGAACTAACGTTGTTTTTTATAATATACTACTATAAAAGCATTGAAAAACAATTTAATATCCGTTGAATATATTCACGTTCATTGTAGTAATAATTATAATATTGATTTTAATACTGAGTTGTAACGTGTTTTTAATTATAAAATAAAACAAAATGTACTATCTACTTATGAATAAATTTAACAACAAATAAAAAATATAATATGGAATGTAGACTATATCTAAAAAAATAACAATATACTACCAGTGTGTTATGTTAAATTTATAATTGTTGTCTTTAAATAGTAATTTTAAAAAAGCTACTTTAAATGTTAAAAACTTTGTTACACTTCTGATTTCGTTTGATACTTTATTCCATAGCCTTGTACATCTTACTATAAATGATTTTTGCACTCTACATGTTCGATGCGAAGGTACCTTTAGAATAGATTTTCTTCTTCGAAGTATCTTATTGATCGACTCATCCAGATTTATGAACTCAAATAAATTGTAAAGATAAAAGGGAACTCTATTATTAAAGATTGAATACAACAAATTTCCCATAAAGAACTGTCTTCTAGTTGCAACGTTTAAGAGACCTCTCATATCGTATATTACGTAACATTTTCTGTTTTAGGTAAGTGGTAAATAAATCGAATGCATGCAATTAGGGTTCTTTCTAATTTGTCATTTAAATCATCAGTAATATCATCGTAAACAAGGCAACAATAATCGAAATAGGGAAGAATAAGTGATTTAACAAGCAATATGCGAGTAGAAGTAGGGAGAGAGTCTTTGCTTCTATACAGTTGACGAAGTGTTATATTATGTCTTTCGCGAAATATTAAATACATGTTGTTTAAAACTCAATGTTTGATCTAATATCAAACCAAGGTTCTTTACTGTGTCTTTGTAAACAATCAGTGTTTTTTTTACTAAAAGTGGAGGAAGATCCATTAAGGATTCAGTAGAAAGACTATTATAATTAGAAATTACCATAGCCTGAGTCTTATCAGAGTTAAGTAATAACCCATTCTTTTTTGCCCATTTGACAACGTAGTTTATGTCTATTTGTACCATTTTCAGTAATTCTGCAAGAGATGCATTAGGTCCTGAAAGATATAACTTGAAATCGTCCGCATATTTATGATATTTACAGTACTTTAGTTGTTCACCCAGATCTGAAAGAAATAGATTAAAAAGTACCGAAGAAAGCGATGAACCATGGGGTACACCGCATTTAAGTTTTTTCCACTGAGATTGATTACCATCCACCACTTTATGAAATCTACTACTAAGATAAGACTCAGAATATAATCTGAATATCGATCAATATTTTATGCTGTGAGGGTATAGTGTACCTAAATATTTGACAATTGTTTAAACAAATTAATTATGTTTTTTTACTACATGAATACTGAAATATGACTTTTAATGTACTTATAAATTTTTTAAAGATTAAAAACTTTATTTTATAGCAACATATTGATTATTTCATACTTTGTTATAAACAAATAAATATAAATAAACAAAAATTAAAAAATTAGCATCGAAGAATCGATAGAGAATTTAGTATTGAAGATTTTAAAAAAATTTGTTTAATTTGAGTGAAAATTGTGACATAATTTAAAATTTCAGATTCTTTTTTTAATATTTCCTTTTATCATTTATTGTAACTTATTATGATGAATTCATATAAAGAAAACATGACTTGAAATTTATAAAAATTAAAATAAATATAAAAAATAGAGACAGGAGCTTGGCGCGCAGGGGGGCAAAGCCCCATTGTATATATACATATTCTTATGTTAACAATGATAAAAAAAACTGTTATCAACGACGCCAGATGTTTTGATTGACGTCCAAATATCTAATTCCCCAAAGAAGAAGGTCCAACGAGTTTTCATTGATGGATGTAGAGCTGTAAAATATAAATTGTAAGTGAGCAAAACGTTAAAATTATATGGGTCATTCCATTGACTTTCGTCTGGGGGTTGTTGCGGCTATATTTTAAAAAAATCTGGTTTCAAAATATGTAAAAATAGAAGACTTCCTGATTCCATTAACCACAATATTATTCCGAAAATTTTATTTTTTTAAATGTTATCATTAATCAAAAGTTGGCCTCTCAGAGTGTTATTTTGTAACCTTAAATTTTGCACTTTTTTAAAATCGTTTTTTTTTCAATAATTATTTTATGTCATATAACATAACTTACCAAAAGCATAAATAATTTGATGGTGAATCAGGAATCGAAGCAATTACTATGAAAATATATTATTTTTAATTAATAAAGCGAAATCGAAAATTTTTTTCACAAAAAAATTTTCCGATTTTCTGAAGACTATAATTTTTTTCTCAATGCTCCTAAAATTTCAATCTTCTCCGTGTAGCTTAAAAGTAATATAATTTACTCAATACTAAAATTTGACGTATATGTTTTGCTTCGTTTTTGAAAAATTAATTTTTTAATTTATTTTCTTAAAAATGTTAATTTTATACAATTCTCATCGAATTTCAACGTGTAAATAGAGTGATGTGAAATTGGTCGGTTAACTTCAAGTCCTAAAATTAACCGTTAATTAATTGCTTCGATTCCTGATTCACCATCAAATGATTTGTGCTTTTGATAAGTACTGTTATAAGACATAAAATAATTATTGAATAAAAACGATTTTAAAAAAGTGCAAAACTTAAGGTTACAAAATAACACTCTGAGAGGCCAACTTTTGATTAATGATAACATTTAAAAAAATAAAATTTTCGGAATAATATTGTGGTTAATGGAATCAGGAAGTCTTCTAGTTTTTCATATTTTGAAACCAGATTTTTTCAAAATATAGCCGCAACAACCCCCAGACGAAAGTCAGTGGAGTGACCTATATACAATCTTATAGAAATCTTCAAGAATAGAGAATTATAAATTGACATTAAAATTTTTATACTGGTTAGATGAAAACAATACATTTAATTTTAGAAGCGGTAACTTTATTTGGAACTTTAATGCAATTCTTGATACTCTACTATAAAAAGATTACATAAAGAGAATTTTGTTTTGTATAGACGAAAAAACTTTTGATACACTAGCAGCTGCTGTTCCAGCTAGTGATCAAGCAACACTAAACGCAGGGTCATATGTTACCCCTGTACTTAGCATAACGGACCAACCCTCTTGAAACAGCAGGTGCACTATTTTGGTATGTCTTTTGGACGATCCTATGGAGACAAACTGTAATTCATATTTTAGTAAAAAATACTTTTGTAGGTTATATATTTAAAAAGACACTTTTTGATATTTCGCAAGAAACGCTGATTAATATATTTCGCATCTACACTTTGTAACCCGCGATTATATTGTGAAAAAAGGGCTATGCACAAATTTGAAGTATTCACGGTACTTTACATTTACCCACTATCTTTCGGTGGGGACTCTAAAATAAAAAAATTTGACAAGTTCGAGTTACACTCGCACTAAAATCAAGGGTTCCGTACACCAAAATTAAACTCTTTTTTAATTATTATGAATTATGAAAAAAGGAAATCGATTTTTATATAAAATTTTTTAAAAAATAACAATAACCCCTTATTTGAATTACTACATATATAAATCTATTGAACTGAAATTCGGTATACATACGTATTTAATTCAGTGAACGAACCAGAGACCCTCTCTGCTACTTGACTGGTATTATCGCTTTTAACAGTGCGTCAAGCGTGTTCTTCGATACAAGTCCTTATCTAGGTCACGATATGTAGAAGTTAAGGGAGAACAGAGAAATTTTTGCAATTTAAAAAAAATCTATTTATTTCCCTCCTAGTTCGTAAGTATGACCTCCATTTAAATCCGTTATATTTTTTCTGTAATATTAATTAAAAAATACATTTGTGTGCCAAATTTGAGCTTAAAAGGTCCTCATAGTTATACGTTAACCCATTAATGCCCATTGGCACAGAAACGCAGATATCAAAAAAACAACAAGTGGGATTCTGGCATGGGGTCTAATAATAATTTTTGACGTTAAAAATTTTGTTTAAAAAAGTTTTTTTAAACAATTTGTTATAAACAAATTAAAAAAAATGATTTTCATAAAAAACTGATAGCGCCATTCGATTCTACGCGAAAAACTACTACGAAAACATAGGTTGCAAAATTTTTTAAAAAAGACCTATTGTTATAAAAATGTTATAAACAATTAGCCTGCATATATACTCGTTCCAGCCCATGGGCGCAGAAACGCAAATATCGAAAAAACAACAAGTGGGATCCTGGCATGGGGTCTAGTAATAATTTTTGACGTTAAAAATTTTGTTTAAAAAAATTTTTTTAAACAATTTGTAATAAACAAATTAAGAAAAATTGATTTTCATAAAAAAATGAAAGCGCCATTCGATTCTACGCGAAAAACTACAACGAGAACATGGGTTGCAAAATTTTTTGAAAAAGACCTATTGTTATAAAAATGTTATAAACAATTAGCCTGCATATATACTCGTTCCAGCCCATGGGCATAGAAACGCAGATATCAAAAAAACAACAAGTGAGATCCTGGCATGGGGTCTAGTAATATTTTTTGACGTTAAAAATTCTGTTTAAAAAAATTTTTTAAACAATTTGTAATAAACAAATTAAGAAAATTTGATTTTCATAAAAAACTGATAGCACCATTTGATTCTACGCGAAAAACTACAACGAGAACATGGGTTGCAAAATTTTTTGAAAATGACCTATTGTTATAAAAATGTTATAAACAATTAGCCTGCATATATACTCGTTCGAGCCCATGGGCACAGAAACGCAGATATCAAAAAAACAACAAGTGGGATCCTGGCATGGGGTCTAATAATAATTTTTGACGTTAAAAATTTTGTTTAAAAAAGTTTTTTTAAACAATTTGTTATAAACAAATTAAAAAATTGATTTTCATAAAAAACTGATAGCGCCATTCGATTCTACTCAAAAAACTACTACGAGAACATATGTTGCAAAAATTTTTAAAAAAGACCTATTGTTATAAAAATGTTATAAAAAATTAGCCTGCATACATACTCGTTCCAGCCCATGGGCGCAGAAACGCAGATATCGAAAAAACAACAAGTGGGATCCTGGCATGGGGTCTAGTAATAATTTTTAACGTTAAAAATTTTGTTTAAAAAAATTTTTTTAAACAAATTAAGAACAATTGATTTTCATAAAAAAATGAAAGCGCCATTCGATTCTACGCGAAAACTACTACGAGAACATAGGTTGCAAAATTTTTAAACAAGTTTTATCATTTCATGATCATTAAGCTTCCTTAATATAATATATACCAATTGTTTAATTTTTTATTTTAGAATAATTATTTTAAAGTGTTAAGATAAAATGTCAAAAAATACAAAATTTCAATTTTTTGTGAAAATTTAAAATCCTTAATATGAAACGAGTAGATATGCAAATTAGGTAAAGAGAGACAGTCTAATGTTGCTTATCCTCAAAAGAGAAAGAAAGCAATAGCGTTAGATTTTCTGCGTTATAAACAGAGACCGATTTATGTTATTTCTATTTGGAAAGAGGAAGAAAGCAATAGCGTTAGATTTTCTGCGTTATAAACAGGGACCGATTTATGTTATTTATTTAGAGAGAAGAAGACAGAAAGATATTTGAAAGATATATATATATATATAAAATTTAAAGAGAAACGAAAGGTCTGCTCGAGTACCTGGCCTATTGTTTGAAGGGTTTCTTTCAACCAGTAGGCAGTCTATTGAGTGACCAGAGAGAGAGAGAGAGAGAGAGAGAGTTGGTAGTCTAATTTATACTTGAGTATACATATATATATACACTGTAAAAAATTTAGGGAGTTAACGGACTCGGGAGTTTGGAGTGAAATTTTTCGAGTTAAAAATCAACTCCAAAAGAGAGTTAATTTCTAACTCCCTTCATTCAACACCCGCGCGAGTTATTTTTTCATTGGGGAGTTAGTATTTCGGTGTGAAGTTTTAACTCTCTTTATTTAACTCCCCTGGCATTAACTCCCCAATAGGTGCGACTTTTATAGAATCCTCTGGGGAGTTAAAATTTAACTCTCTTTTTTTACAGTGTAGTTATAGTTTATTAACAGATTTTCGCATTATATAATACAGAAAAATAAAAGTGCAATGTGAAGAACACTTTTTTTCTCTTTTCAAAATTAAAAGACGAAAAAAATTTTTGTGATTAAAAATAAGGATAAGTTTTTAAAAATTGTGTAAAATACTACTTTTTAGTGATATAAAATGATTTTTCTTTTTTGTAATTAAGAAATGCATGTAATAAATTAACAACTTTCCCGTCTAAGTCACTAACATTATCTACTTTTTCAACAATTAAACTTGTAAAGAAATTTAAATAACTTTCTAGAATCATTTTAAAAATGCTTGATCTCGTCCTTGAGTTTGCCTTGTTTTATTAAAAAATCAATATAATTTCAGAAATACTTTACATGGTTTAATATTTTTTTAATAAATCTTAAAGCAGTACCCAGTTTTTTATTATAAAAAAGTTTATGTTGTCTTAAACAAAAAAAGAATATTTTTTATTTCAGTTCAAAATTAGAGTCTTGAAGGTAATAAACAGGTGCCATAATAATAAGGTGCCAGTTTTAGAATCATTATAATAATAATATTTATTCGCCAAAATATGACTATCAAATAAACACAATTTAATAGCTTCAACAAGAGCATTTAAATTGATTTCTTCTGAATCAATTGACTTTTTTCCACTTGACATGCCCAAAAATACTAGAAAAAAAATAAAAACAACATTTAAATAGTATGTCTGCAAAGTCGTATTTTTTATGCTGCCCACACTGAGAAAACTGGAGTATTGGACTAAACATCTGGAGGGACAAATCGTTCATATTTGAGAGTTAGCTATTGGATAACAATCTAAATGTTCAAATA